TGTATATGTTGAGAGCCATAGGTACATTATAATTTGCAGCTGTGTGAGCCATACAAATTCACGGGACTCATATATATCATTTATAAGGGGTGTGGGCACTTTGAAAAATATCCTGCAAGCTCTCTTGTAAAAGTTCTGCTAATCTGATGCAATAAGTGCACGCTCACGGTTTAAACCTTTCTGCAACCCAATCTTGTTCACATTTACTTTTTAAAGTAAACCCCCCTGAATTTTAGTTGCATTTTTTTTATTGGCTTGTGGGTTGGACTAGATGAAGTACCTTCCAACTTTATGTTATGTTCCCAATGTAAGTGTTCAGAGGGTCGCAGCCGTGTGTAAAAGTTCCTATGATATTTTCAGTAAGGCTTCTAGAATACAGATGATTGAATTAATTTTAAAACAGAGTTTGAAAAGAATTGACACACATTCACAAGCTATGAGAGCATTTTCATGAAGCAAAACACTAGAGTATTTTGCTTCGCTTCTTTACATTTATACTCCACCTTTCCATTAAAAAAAATGCCTAAGGCAATTAACAGTAAAATTCAGAACAACTCCTCTCCGAACTAATTCATAAACAAGCAACCAATATCACAATAAAATAAAGAGGAGTTAAAAATGGCAGCCAGTTTAAAGTGTTATTAAATTATGTACGCTCGATCACATTTTAACCAACCAGGCTAATCACTGCATGAATAAATAGTAATAAAAAGCGTGTGTTAGATGGGAAAAGCTCCTTCTGATCATGTAAGTATTTTGAACCAGTGCTTGCAGTGGGGAACTTTGATTTCCTCTCTTCCCCTGCAACCTCAAGTATCACCTTCCATGTTGCTCTATACTCTGAGCAGAATTGCACTCAGAGAATGCTCTTTCTGGCAGGACCAAAGTCTGGATCCAGTCACTGAATTAAGAAACAGGGCATAATCCAATCAATGATAAATATTGTAAGCCTCACTTATTTTTATATGGTATAGGCTTACACTTTCCAGTTTGAAATGAGTAAGGTTAAGCATGCTTTGGCTGAGTTGTGCCATTTGAACGTGCATCAGTAGAGCAACATTTAGTATTGGCATTCTCCTCCTTAGTTTAATGTGCCCCATTTTCTTACAAAGGTACCCAATAGCTAATAGTGATATAATTTATTGCAGCCTGCAGGAAACCTGGCTACCATTGATGACTGAGAATTGATGATTGGCAGTGGGCCTATAAATTATCTGCCTGACCCACAAGAGAGATCTGGGTGTCTGGTAGGCTAGTGCAACACTTGAGGACAAGTTGAAGGAAACTGCTCCCACCTGAGTTGTCTGTAGTATCACAAACCTATATAAGATTATGGGAGTAACAAAACAGGAAACAGGGTTGGGGAAGCCAACCAGTGATTGTCAACATTATTCATTAGTGTGTACCTCTGAATTTGCAGTCAAGCACAAAAGTTGAATAGAGCTATGTTGATGGTATACATTATATAGAACAATAAATAAATAGTTTGATGGTCCAGACTTTCACATGTGTATGTTGACATTCATTGGACTTCAATGCAACATATATAATAATAATATGGTAAAGCATTTGAAAGTGAAATTGCTATCACAAGCTATGGTCAGTTCTGGATTGCTCCTAACAACTATAACTGCATTTCTGAACTGAATTACTTTTTAGTAGATGTCTTAAAAAAAATACTACTGTTCCTATAACATTTTTGTTTTGAAATGCATTCCAAGGAGGCAGTTTAGATTGCTATGTTTCAGATAACTGCCTTAATATATTTTTAGGGGGGTGGGTACCAAAAGAAGATAAAAAGTTCAACTCCTGCAGACAATTCCTGTACTTTTGTCATGTCATTATGCTTCCAAAGCCCTATCGCTGATTGGAAGGTGGGTTATCTGATCAGTAATATACATCTCACAATCTCAGCATGACATTTTTTGGCATGCAGCTTCATCAGCTGGGTAGCAGTGTATCGCAGTGTATAATTTTAAGCTGAAGAAGTGATTGGTATTACAATGGAGTGAATTTTGTTGGAGGAGGCTGATATACTTAGCTTCCTTGGCTGTGGAATTCAGAACTAAAGTTCTTGTATCCTGAGTGGGCAAGGACTCGGTGCTGTTTAAAATAATAATGTGGGGCAAAGTTTGAGATCCTTAAAAGCTCCATATTCAAGTTGTTTATCAGACTGACCATATGTAGAAGAGAGGTAGCTGATAGCTGCAGCCCAGTGGTTAAAACAGTGGTTAAAAAGCAGGACTACAACTCCCATCATCCCTTGCTAGCTAGGGATGGTGGGAGTTGTAATCCAACAACACCCGGGGGCCTAAGTTTGAGAAACACTGAGTGAAAGCATAGGTTATAGAGAAGTGAGTGTGGAACAGTGAACTTGGGAGGCATGGGTTCAAATGTCTACACAGCCTGTCACTGTTCTGTGGCCTGATTTTCCTACAGGGTTACTGCAAGAATAAAATGTGATAACAGTATATCATGCCAGTATAGAAAATATGGGGAGTGCTTGTGATAGCTAATATCAATAATTTTTCTTTTCACACTGGCCAGGATTTGAAGAGCTGCATTAGATGAGCCCAAGGACTGGGCTCTCCCCATTTGATCTTTTTTAAACTTGGAATGGTAGATTCCAACCTGCTTTTGAAACTCTCCTGAATTTCCAGAAGCCTTGTATGGGGTGCACTGTTAAAGAAACACAAATTTATTTTGAAATAAGAGAAGGGCTTCTTCATCTGAAGTCATCTCCCACACTTAAAAACAATAATATTGAGAACCACAATTATTTACTTGAATCAAATAGAAACATCAGCAAACAAATAACTCCAGCCAAAAGAAAAGACTCAGCAACTGCAATGGCATGACGGCATAATATTTTTTCTCATTATGGGTCTCATCACCATTATCTTAGTTATTCAAAGGACCCGACATCTTAAACAACATCAACCGATAATTGTCTGAACACTTGAATCCATTATTTTTCCATCACATTTCAGCCTTGTACTTTCAGTGATGTTAGCGAGTTGTTTTTCAAGTTATGACATTGGGATATTGTATCCCAAATCTCAAAAACTGTGGGCACTCCACCAGAGATGAATATATGTGCCCTGCTGGCTATAACTTCTTCAAACCCTAGCACTAGGCCTCTCCCAAAACTGGGGACATGGTACCTAGCAGATACATTAAATCTCATCAGGGCATGATACCATATGTGGATTGTTTTTAATATATTTTCTCTGAAACAGAGCCATTTCATCTTCTGGATGCTCTTTCAGGGACTAGGTGGAATTTCTTCCCCTATAACAGAGGTCGGCAACCTGCGGCTCCGGAGCCGCATGTGGCTCCTTTAAACCTTTGCTGCGGCTCCGGGGCGCCTCTTCCCTCATGGTGCAGGGAGTGAAGAAGAAGAGGAGGAGGGCGGCGGCAGGAAGGCGCGCCAGGGCGCAGCGGCGGTTCTCCCTTCAGGTGGACACTGTTGCCACTGCCACCGCTGGCACCTGCCACACACGGGCGCGTCCACAAGCAGGCGCGCTCCCTTTCGCCGTCGGTCGCAGCAGCCCGCCCGCCCTCAGGCCCCGCGCGCTGCGCCGCTTGACGTTGAGAGCCGCCCACCCAGGCCACGCTCTCCTCAGCCCCGCACGCGAGGCACCTGAGGCGAGGGAGAGAGCGCACACACGCTCGAGGGAAATGGCGGGGTGGGGTGTGTGTGTGTGTGTGTGTGTGAGAGAGAGAGAGAGAGAGAGAGAGGGGGGTGGCGGTGGTGCTTCGGGATCCTTTTCTGTGCCTTGCTTCTGAGTGGCCGCCGAGTTGAGGGAGGAGGGGGTCCAGAGGTAGCCAGCAGGAGAGGCGGGGGAGCACGAGAGCAATTGCAGAGGGAGGGGGAGCTGTTAGGCACCAAAATCCTGCATGCGGGATTTCCCCGTTCTCTCGTGCCTATGCAATTCCTGCCCTTCTCCCTTCCCCCTCGAGATTTGCTGCAGAGACAAGCAAATGAAGAAGAAAGGGAAGAGTATTAGCTGACATGTCCCCTGGTCCCATGGAAAGCACCACAGATTCCTTTGCTTACCAGCTCTTTTTATTTTAAGTTGGCTTCAAACCTGTAATTGTGTAGGTGTATGTATGTATACATATACACACATAAATATTCATATCTCTTCCCTCTCACCTTCCTTTCACCCAGTTTCTCTGGCACTGGTTTATAAATGCTGCTATGTAGAAATGATGAGAAAGTTGCACCAGCAGAAGGAATGGATATGTGCTTTTAGTAAAAAGAGAGGGAGTTGAACTGCAGGGAGGGACAGACACTTTTCTATGTATTAATTTGTATAATGCCCTCTATGCACATGGTGCTTTGCAAAAAATGGATATGAGAGGTACCATTCCCCTCTTTGCTATCTGAAATAGACTCAGGGAAAAGAGAGAGAATGGGGGAAGGGGAAGAATGTGTGGTTATTTACATTTGGCTTGTTTTGCGGCTCCCAGCTGTTGTTTTTTCTTCGAAAACGGGTCCAAGTGGCTCTTTTTGTCTTAAAGGTTGCAGACCCCTGCCCTATAACTCTGTTCTAAACCACCCTAAGAAAGACCAGGTTTCCTGAGGGATCTTCTGCTAATGTAAACCCCCTCAAATCATCATCTTCACCCAAAGCCAAGGAAGGTGTGACAGCTGTTGTAGATTGTTCTCAAATTTCCCTGTTACAAAAGAAATTTGATTGATTTACACACTAGCTAATCTGTCTCTCATTTGTTCTTTTGTGAATCAGCAGATGTTGGTTTAGAAGTCCCTAAGTTGGTACTGTACCTTCCCTTTCTAGCCCCTAAAATTTCTCTTTGTCTGTAGATAAATGACTTCTTTCATATGGGAACAAGGTAGGGTTTATTTGGGATTAATTTGGATTGCCATGTTTTCTTCTATACCATAAATATGCAGTGTTTGAACACATTGCAGAGTTTTTCAGTTCTGCTTGAACTTCGTACTCCTAATTTTTCTTCTTCTTTTATTTGACCAGGAGTTAAATAGCTTTAATTACTTGGACCTATATAAACTTGCTGACCTATTTAACCTCACTTTACTGGAAAAAGCGGTGGTTGACTTCTTGGTAAAACACCTATCTGAGCTACAGAAGAACCACCCAGAAGAAGTCCTGACGCTACCATACTGCCTCATCCGAGAAGTCTTGAAGAGTGACCGACTCACGTCACTGAGCGAAGAACAAATTTGGCAGGTAAAGTGCAAAGATAAGTGGAAGTGTATGTTAAACTGTAGGAGGACTAGTACTGTGGACCCTTGAGCATTACAGAAAAGAAAATGATAAAGAACAAATCACGTTTTTCGTGGAAGCAACAGATGAAAATTATTGACGCACAATCTGACTGTGGCTGTGTACTGAGGAATTGTGGCCATGTGCAATGGAATGCTGTTCCAGCAGAACTCATGCTTCATGACCAAACCCTTGGGTGGGGGAGAGCTGGGCAAGGATAAAGGTAAAGGTACCCCTGACCGTAAGGTCCAGTAGCAGATGACTCGGGGATTGCGTGCACATCTCACTTTACAGGCTGAGGGAGCCGGTGTTTGTCTGCAGACAACTTCCGGGTCATGTGGCCAGCATGACTAAGCTGCTTCTGGTGAACCAGAGCAGCGCACGGAAAAGCTGTTTACCTTCCCGCCGGAGCGGTACCTATTTATCTACTTGCACTTTGACGTGCTTTCGAACTGCTAGGTGGCCTATTTTGTGTAATGTCCTAATGCACTGAGTGTCCATCCATGTGTTCTGAAGGTGACCTCTGTTACATCCTTTGGATACCTCTTAGTACATTGGAAAGGGTTGCACCCTTGGTTTTTATATCTGCAAAATATGTTAGTTTGATCTAAAAAAAATCATTTGGGAGATCACATTCTCTGCTTTGTTGCATAATTGTGTGGTCTAAATTATTAAGATGAGAGACTGTTGTGCTGCCCCTTGGTGTGCAGTGTAATCTGGTTTGCAATGAGACAAAAATGCAGTGCCATCCCTTAAATGTGTTTTGCTAAGGAAGAGATGCAATATAGATATAGATATAATGGAAGCCAGAAAATCTAGTGTAAGCATCTTAAACTACAGTAGCACATAGTATAGCTTACACCTCTTGCATTAGTGTATTATTTTCCCAATACTAGCTTATGCTTATTGGAAGTTTGTTGAAGGGCAGGGTTTAAAACAACAACCTCAATGATGATGATGATAAAGGAACTGGTTCATGAAATTTGTATGTCCACATGAACTCCAGTAATTCGCAGATCCTTGGACACCGCCACATCCTATCCCTGAGAATTGGGTGGCATCACCAAGTTTCTGAACTGGGCTACAATGGCAATAGGCTCTTCTTTGCAAGTGGGCACTTCTTACTAGGACATTCTATAGGGCCTATGCATGAGGAGCGTTTTACAGAGTGACTTGGCAGCACCTTAGTATAACCACCTTTGCCCTTCTCAAAGGGGTGAAGGAGGGGTGAATATTCAATCTCAAACTTTTATTGGCATATAGACAAAATTCTGAAAGGTTCAGTACAATAAAATCACTCAGCAAAATCTGAGTCTAACAATTAAAATTGCAAAGAGAGGATCTTTCCCCACACTCAATGGACACTGGGACACATTCTTGTTTAGCAGGACATCAGAACTGGGCCAGATGGAAGGGCTACTTGTGCAAGTGTTTAGAGCAGTGGATGGGTGGTAGCCAGTGTCTTGGTGTTTTACTGTTGTTTTAGAAGGATGGAATAGTGGGTACAGGTGGCGACTGTTTTGGGGAAAGGCTCCATTCCTGCCCCGTGTGCGCGTTGGTGGAACATGCATAAGCCTGCCTTGCCCCTGTTCCCCCCCCCCCATTTTACCCTCTTCTGGGTCCAAAAGGACTGTCACATAGGCAGTTGCACGTCAGTTGAATGTGCACAAAATGGTCGCCACTTGTATACCTTTTTTGAGCAGTGAGCATAAAATTTGTGCCTTCAGGAGAACCATTTAACCATGTTCCAGGGTGTCTAATGCAGCTCTGTATTTTCATAAAATGTGTCTCTCTTCCTGTACTGAAGGACGGCAATAGGTGTTTTCTTTGGTGTATTTTAGGTTTCCAGAAAGGAAACCCCCATGAAAAAAAGGGTGTGTATTCTGTAGCTAGCACTGTGTTCCTCGGTGGTTAATGTGCTGTTTTCTGAGTGGCAGCAAACTGTACACTGACCACTTTAGGTGTTATCATAATTGCCTCTCTAACGGTTACTAATGCTGTTACGTAGAATATTTAAGCTATTTTACTGCTGTGGGCAAATATATATATATATATTTCATTCCTGGTCCTCCAGAATGAATTAAGACATACATAAATATTTGCCAATTCAAGCTTTCAGTGGGCAACAAGAAACTGTTTTTGCTTTATCTTAGTAAATAAGTAATTCCCTCATAGTCAACCCAATACAGGAAAATCAAATCAGGCCTGCTCTGTTGCCTCAAGTGTAGTTAAGTTCATCATTTTTGCTAAGGTTATACTGGTAATGCAATATACCATGGAAGAATCTAATATTCTGCCCAGGGTGAAGATTGGGTATGCCAGAGGATTAGTGTCAGGGTGCTTTATAGAAGTGAAACTTGATATACAGGCTGGAGACAGAGCTACAGAATCTCATTAAATTGCTGAATTGTTCATTACTGAGCACTCTCCCTTTAATAAAGTGCTCATTGACTTTGACAAATCCCCATCCCATGTCTTAAAGGACAACAACAGTGCAGGAGGTGCCAGGAAAGGAAGAGGAAATTGGCCCAAATGATTGGGGGGGGGAGTATGTATTAGAGAAGCTTATGAGGAATATTACTCTTTGGTTACTATAGCACGTTAATCGGTGTGACATTGGCAATGCCATATGTAGCCATGTTGTGTATGCACATGCATGCATGCACAGGAATAACTCTGATTTAGTATTCCACCCCAAGGCATCATCCCCTGGCTGAGCTTCCAATAAGCATCGGCCAAAATTTTAATGGTGTCTCTCCTCCTTTCTTTTCCCAAGGGCAGGACCCCTGGAGTGGATGGCAATATTGTCTAGGCATAAAGAATTCCTCCACTGTGTCACTGAAGCGATGACTCACAGCCAATGTAGATTCAGGTTTAGGTAGTTAGACGAAAAATATATGTCTGACTTTTTGAACACTATTGAGGTCTGACTACGCATAGAAGTTATCTCAACTAAGCACTGAGCTGCAAGGAATATATAATATATATAGTATATAGTTCTGTATTTTCTTGTTTGCTGTGAAATATGCGCTTCTAGTAATAGTGAGGGTGATGAGGAGGGATGTTGATGATAATAAACAAGACTGAAAAGTTTTAAGTGTTTTTAAACCTAAATGCCCTATGTGCATTTAACTAAATGAGAAGACTGAAAGCATTTTATTGATTATATTTCATTTGCTTTCGATAAGAACGTTAAGGCCATTTTCTCCTTATTATCGCAGTCCATAGCAACCATTGGGCAAAAGTCAGCCTGTTGTGACTTTGGCCTGTGTTAAGCCTGGAGTCTGGGAGTGGGAACCATTTTGGGTGGGTGGGTGTGGATCCTTATTCCTTTCTCCACTACGCTCTACTGCCAGTATTTAAGACCACATGCAACTGTTCTGATTCACAGGCTCAGAGAAGGGCTAGTGTGAGGGGTTTAATGCAGGGATATAATAGAAGGATGCCCAGAATGCCAGAGGGATCAGTTCTGGTGCTTTCTTAGAAAAAAATGTAGACTTACAAACCAACCTGCAGAGCCTTGCTGCCTTTACAGACTTGGGACAGACACCGAAACAGCAAGCGTTTGTCATGACTTGTCTGCACCCAGGAAAACATTTATGCATTAGTTATACATCAGTTTGGCCAGGGCCTCCCATTGGTCCACTTGCTGGCAGTCTTACAGATAGCTCGCCTCTCTAGGCCAATAACCATGCATCCTACGCCCACAGATAGGCATAGCATCAAAGCAGGGCAATTAGCATTGGTTACTGATGTTAGCCTTTTATAAGTCCTAACCTGGTCCTTATGTATTTCTTTTAAGGACCATCTTTGCCCATAGTAACCTGTCAGTCTTAAAATTGGCATCAAAAGCTCTGGTCTCTGGTCCTGTGGATGGGTGCACTAGATTCCAAGGACAAGGGCCTTCAAGGCAGCGAGACTGCACTTAGGAGTTCTCTAATCATTTCTAGGATGCTGTTGAAGACCCGCTTTAAAAAATAATTCTAGAAGGCATTTTATGTCCCCCTCCCGATAAATTAATGATAGGCAACCTATGTTCATTTCATTGTTGACCTATTTTTTTTACTCGTTCTACTTTAGTGTGAGTTATTTTTGTGTGCAAATGTGATATATATAAAAAAATTAAAACTAACCACAAAGGAATGATATCCAAATTCATTCATATCCAAAAGGTTTTTCTTTTCTTCCTTTTTAAGCAGGCTTTGAGGTCTTGCTGTAGATTCCTATATGAAAATCACTTTTCAAAATCTGAAACAACTACTTACCACTACCACTTGTGGGGAGGTAAGTCATCACAGCCCTGAGCTTCATTGAGAAGAAGGGGGTGATATATAAACAATAAAATAATAAGGGTAATGATTATGATGAATCACTGCGGGCACATCAGTTTGACTCTTTCTGGTCATGGGATGATCATTTAGTTCTACATCAGTGTGGTGGCATTTGACATACTGCCATTGATGCAGCAGTAAGAGACAGGGCTGTCGTGAAGAATTATTTGTCTATAGTACAAGTTCAACCCCCTCCCTTATTGAGTTGCATCTGTAAGATTTCTAATCTACCCAGAAGTCGACACAAGTTTCATGTTCTGTCCATATATTTATAATTTCAGACTTTTCTCCCTTTCCAAAGATATCTCTCTCTCTCTCTCTCTCTCTCTCTCTCTCTCTCTCTGAAGAAGAAGTGAGGGGGAAACAAGGCATATAGTTTAGTAAGGAAAGAGTGAAGCTAATTTGTGAAGAAGTAATTAGGAGAATCTGAATGTTGTAGCAGTGCTGGAGATTAGGAGAAGAATTGTGAAATCTATGTTAGAGACGGCTTGTCAACTTGAAAGCCACTCTGAAAGTGGATATATATGGGAGAAAACTCTGGCAACATTAACTGTAGATAACAGATAGCAAGTGTGTGTGTGTAGTTAGGCTTTCCACTTTGAGGCTCATGTAATACAAAGCATTTTGTTGTGA